GGCAATTCATATTTTAATATATACAGGGCAGTTCAAAGGAATTGTGTTGGGGGGCAGTCGGTTTACTACCTCACTAGCTGGCAGACTGTCCTGGAAAAGCATTGCAGAGCTGTCCGGAATCTGTGTCCCTACTTGGTACTCTGTGGATACTTGATGAATGTCGCCACAGTGATTACCCCAAGCCACAGCTACCTCTGTGGAGCAAGGACTTATCTCTGTCTACTGCCAGGAGACTTGGTGCCACCTGCCTCCTAAAGTGGTACAGCATGCGGTTTCCTCTGCTTGCTTTGAACTGGTAGAGTGGACAGAGTAGTAGCTGTGTTCACGTCACTTGTTGCGGGTAGCAGTTTCTTTGCCTCTCACCTCAGGTGCACCTAAAAGATGGAAACTGTTCCTGACCCTCTGTGGCATCCTCTCTCTCCCAGGGACACCAGCCTGCGGATGTGAGGCAGGAGATTGGGGTGTGGCAGACTGGCTGGGAAGTAGGCCTGACCTGTTAAATACAGAATCCCAGGGCACATGCGCAGAACAGTTCCCAAAGCCCTGCAAATGGGCTACTGCAGGTTTTGAAGAACTCAAGCACGTTTGCTGTAGGCTGGCCTAGACCTGAAGCCAGCAAGAGGAGGGGAATCCTTGAGTAGGGTGTGCTTGCTTGCTTTCTTCTCTCTCTTTTCGGTACTGGGGATCAAACTCAGGACCTTGCACTTTCAAGGCAGATGGTGGCACCACTGAGCTCAATCCCTAGTCCTAGGGTGTACTTTTCCTACTTTCACTTGGCACAAACAGAATGTATCTTTTCCTATCTTTAATGAATGTATCTTTTCCTATCTTTAATGAATGTAAAGCCTCGCTACTGTTTGTGCTTGTTTTGTCCCAGTTCTTTGGTCAAGACAAGAAGATCCTAGAAACCACCTCTAGGAGACTCCAGCACCCCCAAAACTAACAGTGGGTTGCCCTTTCCCTTCCACCAACCTGTTGCTCTAGTTTGAATAATTGGCTATGATGTTAATTCCCCACTCTTCCTTAAGACTTTAAAAAAACACTTTAAACTCTGCTGGAAATTGTTCCTCCTAAATCTAATGCAAGAAATGTCAGTGATAAGCCTGATGTGGTGATGTATGACTATAGTCTCAGCACTCAAGAGGCTGAGGCAGGAAGGTTGTCATGAATTTGAGGCCAGTCTGGGCTACATAACAAGATTCTGTCTCAAAAAGGATCCCTCCTCAGAGGTAACTTGGTAGATAGTGACTTTCCTGTGGCTTTATCCACTGCCACACCATTTCCTGGTCAGACTTGACTCAGTTATCACGTAGGAGGGAGAAATATCAGTGTTTAGTGTTGTGTCTCCCCTCCTTCCCTGGGGATGTTTTTTAAAAATGTAAAGGCCAGGGAACTATATTCTAATTGGGTGATCCATCTGCAGAAAGGCCTGAAACCTAACTAAAGGGGAAAAACCTTCAGGGCCTAAGGGGAGACCTAACCTTCCCTAATGTTTGTAATCCCAGTGTCTTTAATCCTGGGCACACAGCACCCAATACCTACAACTCTAAGGAAGAAAGGTTTGTTTTGGCTCACAGTTCAGAGGTTTCAGTACACAGTGGCCTGGCTCCAAGGCAGCGTGGTGTGGCAGAGGGGCCTGGAGGAGGAGGACAGCTCATGGCATGGCAGAGGGAGGCAGAGGGGATAAAGGGAGATCAGCCCAGGCCCAGCGACCCCCTCCTCCAAGTGAACTCCACCTCCGGAATCACATTCAGCTCTGAACTCATCAGTGCACTGATCCACTGACGGTGTCATGCCCCGCGATTCAGTCACCTCCCAACAGCCCCGCCTAGGAGTGCATGAGGAAGGCTGATACAGGGGGTTCCAAGTTTGAATCTAACCCAGGCTACATAGCCAGAAACAGAAATGGAAACACTCCGAAAAAGCTTTGGACAAATCCTTGAAATAAGATGCATTTTATTTTCTAATAAAATAAACGTATCTGTAGCCAACAGATTGAGGTTACAACAGGACACACCCCTGAAATTTTAGCCCCTTCTCCCCCTGCTGAAATGCAGGCCCCAAGAAGCCTTTGTAGCTGCCAGCGTCTCAGCTGGCTGCAGCCCCTCTTGTCCTGAGGAGTCTCACTTGCTGGCACACTTTCAGGATGCCGAACAAGCTGCCTTACTCTCCCCTCACACCTAAGTTCCCTCAGGGTGGGACTGCACGCTCTGGGCCACCGCTGTGGCTCCGGCAGCTCTCAGGCTCCCAGCTCTGCAGACGTGAACAGCAAGGCTGAGACAGCTAGGAGGGGCCTCATCAGGGCTTTCTGTTGGTGCCTTACGAAGGAGAGGCCAGGAAGCCTCTTCTAGGTTTTCAGCGTTCTCAGGGAATGAGCTAAGTGCAGCTGTTCTAAGGTAAGCAGTTTAGTAACGGATTCCACAGAGCAGAAGAAACTAACAGAGAAAAGGAGTTATGGATTTAGGGTCTTGGCTCCCCTGGCGGTGTTGAGTGATGGCAGGGCTGTTTCCACTTGCTCCTGAAGCTCACACCTCTGCTCCCCCTGGACTCGTCCTTCAGGGCTCCCCTGTGGAGCTGCCAGGACACAGGATCCAGCCTGACACGCAATTGCCTGACTTGTAATCTTTTGGTCTCTGCCTCAGCAACTCCATGGGGTGCGTCACCTCAGACACCTGCTCGCCCCAGTTCTCCTGCCTTTAGTGCCTCTTTTGTTCACTCAGATTATGGGCAGGTGATCGGGCTCCATGTGGCTCCTCACTGTCCCTCCTGTGTCCTCTGCAGTGACAGCACCAGGGGTAGCCTTGAGCCTGGGGCCACATTTTCGAGCCTCCTTCCACTGGATGTGGCCATGTGGTTCCAATAGCCAGAAGGGCGAATGGTGCTGTGTGAGACCTCTCCTAAGTGCTGCAAAGGAAGGTAGGCTCCCCGGTCTTCTGGCTGGAGGACAGAAGACCTGGCGCTTTAGATGCCATCTGAGTGCACCCTGACTTTGGGGAAGGAAACCACACCCGGCAGAACCAGATGAAGCCCAGCCATGATCTCTGACAATGTGTCGGGCCACGTCTGCCTCAGAGAGAATAGATGACTGTTCTATCTGAACACAAAGAGAAGCCAGCTTTCTTGTTTAAACCGCTACTGCTTTGATGCTTTTTTATTGGCAGTGCCGGGGTTCAAGCTCACGACCTTGTGCTTGCCAGGCAGGTGAGGCACCTCCGAGCTACATCCCCAGCCCACCACCACTGCTTTGAGAAGTACCAATCTAATCCAACTGAATCTAATCCAAATTAACACCCTCTGCCATCCCTGCTGTTTCCAAGGTCTTCTGACCGGGGTGCCTCCTGCCGTGGCTGGTGTGGAGCATTTTTCCTGGGTGCCAGCACTGCTCCTGGGCCTGTCTCTCCTGTGAGGCCACAGGCAGTGGGCTTGCTATCTTGTATGTTTCTGGAAACTGCTTGCCTAGCATCCCCAATACTGCGAAAAGTTTTTAAATATAAAGTCCAAAACTAAGGGGGTTGGGAGTGGGGCCTGAGTAAAGCATGTGCAAGGTCCTAGGTTCCGTTCCCACCACCAAAAAAGAAAAAGACGGAAGGTTTTCCTAAAGAAAGCAAAGAACACTCAAATGCTTTCCAGCTCAGGGAGAGCCAGCGAGCGGATCTAGACCAGGTCTGTGCAGACCCGTGGCCGGGTGCCGGTCCCTATCCCTAGAGCCGTGCACTTCACACACGCTGCTGTCTGAGGCGCCAACATTCTCAGAGGCGAACTGTGACCGCCAAGAGCTAAGAACCTCTGCATCGGAGCAGCTGCTATTACATCTTTTTTTTTTTGGTACTGGGGGATCGGGACCTTGCGCTTGTGAGGCAGGTGGTGGAACCACTGAGCTAAATCCCCGGCCCAGTTAAATCACTTTGTAAAGCTTGAAAATCACTCACTTGATTTCTACTAAGGGACCCACTAGAAACTATTAACTTTCTCAATTTCCTGGAAAGTAAAAAAGTGCCAATACTTAACATGTGCTCGCAAATATTTTCATTATCTGTTATAAACTCTTTTGTAAAAGTACGATGGTTGGGCTGGGGATTTAGCTCAGTGGTTCTGCTGCCTGCCTTGTAAGCACAAGGACCTGAGTTTGATCCCCGGTACCAAAAAAGAAAAAAAAAATACCATGGTTAACTGAGACAAATATTCTAAAAATATTTATCATGCAAATAGAAGACGTGTTTATAAAGCTGAAGTTGTTTTTGATCACTCAGCTTTAAGTACACATTTGGCTCCAGGATGGATGGAGCCTAAAATCCGGCCAGTGCCAGCCTCTGAGAGGCACTGGCTGGTGCTGGTCACCAGCTTCCAGTTGAGCAGTGGGGCAGGAAAGCCGTGTGCTACCCACTCAGCGATGGCCTACCAGTACCAGGTCAATAACCAGCGAAATACTTTCATCTTACTTCAAAAAGGGATATAATGTGCATTTAACATCACTTAATCAATTTTAGTTAATTTACCATCTTAGAAAAACCAAACAATTTAAAGATGTGGACATACTGGAGAATAACAAGTGTACAAGTGGCAACTGGGTTGTAATTTAAATATAACACAAGAAGAAAACTAAAAGTACTGTTATTTATTGCTGTATCTCTGCTTTCCCCGTCTACCTGTATTTTAAGTAGCTACAAGCGCCACCTTCTGCTTTAAAACTGTGGAACACCCCTTTCTGTAAATGCCATCTGAATGGCAGACATATAAAGCAACAGCAGCAGTTACAAAATGTTGTCTAAGTGATTCTGAGAGCTCAAAACAAGGATCTGTGTATAGGCTGAATAAAAAGATGTTCAATTAATAGTGTACACCGTGTAACTTTAACAAACATCTTCAATTAGAATTTTTGTGTAAACCTTAAGAGATGTGACTCACAGAGACCAAAAGTAAAGCATCTTTTCTTTTACAGTTTAGTGAAGTGGTCTGCACTTTTGCGAACGGTTTACAAAGTACAAGAAACGTTGCGTGTGAGCACTAGGCATAAAATATTTCATTTCCGTACAGAAGGAGCGGCAGGAGACAGGGAACCTAGTGGACGCCCTGGTACCTCTTTTCCCAAAGACGCACACCCCAGAACGGCAGTGGGTGCCTGGTGACGAGCCACCCTTACAACTGTTTGGCTGTTTGAAGTACAAGCACTTTCTGATATTTTCTTCCCTGTGGTGGACCCCACCCCAACTTGGCAGGATATAAACCCATGTCTTTTTGCTTAATTTCTCCTTAGAATTATTTACACGATGCCTACAGATACGGTACAAACTAGTATGAAATTAATGATAGTTTGCATTTCCAGACAGCTTCCGTGGTTAAATAAATACACCACGCTGGTTCTGAAGAATGGTTCAAAGTTAAGGTGACCCGGGTACATTCACATCCGTAATGGCAGACACAGGCCGCTCGCTGGCTGGGGTGGAGTCCCCCACTCTGTCCTCCATGGTGGTGGGGGCCTTGGGAGCAGGGGACGCCACATCCACAGTGAGTGCTGCGGCCTCGTCTGCCTTTGCAGTAGTCGTGACGGGGTCGGAAGTTAGGCTGCCGGCAGGAGGGAGGGAAGATAGCAGCTCCCCCGAGCGGGCTGCAGAAGAGCCCTCTGGAACCAAGGGGAACGACGAGAGGAACTCCGCTGGCATGGGGAGAGGTGTGAGGCCAGTTAGGCTTCGAGGAGGCAAGGCAGGAAGAGGTGGCAAACCTAGGACAGAAACAGCACAGGTCATACATCCTCCCCGCGCTAAAGAGCATTCGTTCTATGTCACAGCCAAAAGAACGTCTGTGTCTCATTAAGAGCTAAGGACAGGACACCAATCGCAACCTTTGCTCATCTCTAGCTGTAGGCCACAGCAGTTAAATACTGATCCTCTATGATAGCAGCCAGCTACAGCAACGGTTCCCGGGCACCGAGGCTCCCTGTGACTCAGCCCGGAACTGAGGGAGACAGGCTCAGGGGAGGACAGGTCCTCCTAGCCTACATGGACAGCAGCTCACCTGGCAGGTAAAGCCACCCTACATTGGGTGTGGGGCAGGAGGGCTCCCACTTTCCCACACAGCTGCGAGCTGACCTCCGGCTTCCCTGGCTGGAACCCGAAGGTATGTGCAGGGCCAGTCCAGCAAACGCTGTAGATGGGGAGCACGATGGCTGCCTTCCCGCAGCCTGGCCGCAGGTCCGTGTCTGGGGAGGTCCCAGGACCCATGACTGTGAACTACCTTTGGTGGGCTTATTCCGATGATTTCACTATGCACAAAGAAGGGCAGTAGTACCTCAACAAAGAAAGCAGGCTGTAAACAAATGTTCAGGCAACCGCTGCCCGGGGAAACCAGGCTCTTAGGGCCTGCTGAATTTGGAGAAAGGCAGAGGAAGAGTCAAGGACACAGAGCACAAAAGATAAGACAGACCGAGTGCTAGCACGGTAAGCGGTAGTCATCTGAGCTTCCTAGGACTTCTCCAATGCTGGAAACTGAGTTCATGAACACACATGTATGGTATCACACAATGGAAGAGTTACAATCCAGGCAGAAGTGCCACTGGGACAGCAGCCACTGGGTGCAGAGGGTCTCGTGCTAGCATCACTCATGGGCCACTTCTGATAACACAGCCCTCTGGGTAATCAGTGACTCCGACAGCAGTTTTGGAAGGTGAAGCTGCTTCATCGTCATCCCTGCACAAAATCTAAGGGAACACACTGCACATCTGCTCTCTCCCTCTGTGTAGCTAAAATCTCTCATAGTGTTTTACTTATGAAAGCACTTGTTCATGATGGGGAATATTTATCAAATAATAAGCTCAGCTGGCTAAGCGAGGATGACCATTTCACAGCCCGAGTTTCTGGGCCTGAGCTGAGCAACATGGGCACCATTCCTGCCCTGCTGGCAGCTACCCGGAATACCAAGACAATTACAGAAACTCATTCACGCCCGTTAGGGAGGCTGTGCCCACTTCACTGTGGAGTGTGTGCCGCTGCTCTCTGTTCCCACACTGGCCTTCCTGGTGCTTGAACTGTCGGGGTACAGGGAGAGGAGAAGAAGGAGGGAGGAGGCAGAGGAGAACCACAGAGATATTCTTTCCCTTCTTTTTCCTTTTAAGCTTTTTAAATAAAAAAGATTAATATTCTTCTGAAGTAGCTGAAATGTGCTACACAGACTGCCCTTCCCAATAAAAACTAAACTATAGGACTGGCTTTCCTGATTACAGCTTTCTCTTCAGGGCAGATGGGCATCATACCTGTGCTCCCGAGCTCTGGTAAGCCAAGCCCTGGCATGAGATGAGGTGTGGGGAGGTTGAGGTTGGGGAGGCTGGGGAGGTCAGGCAGTCCTGCAGGCAAAGGCATCAGACCTGAGCCAAGCACACAAAGAACAAAAGAGAAATCACTTCACCTGGGGAGGAAATAAGTCCTGTGTATTGAAAAACATGCCACCTACTTCAAAGTGTAACAGCAGGTTACCTCACATGTGGCAGTTTTGTATCGTAACAGCATTAACAGCAAAAATCTCACTCAAATGAACTATGTTTCTAAACCTCAGTGAAAAATCTCACTCAAATGAACTATGTTTCTAAACCTCAGTGATTAGATGGCTAAATGGGTAAAGATTAAAATAGTAACAAATAAACTCTAGAATAAGAATGATGGCAGCCTTAAGCGCCTGAGAGAAAAGGCTGACTTATTTCAGCAATTACAGTGGTAAACTGATCTGGATTTTTCTTTGATGGTTGAGGCTGGCAGCCTCTCTAGCTTTCTTTCTTTCTTTCTTTTTTTTTTTTTTAAATTCTGGAATAACTTCAGACTTAACAGCGGCAAAAGTAGTGACAAGAATCCCCACATACCCATCGTGCCAGTTCCCCACATGTAGCAAGCACTGTGCTACACCGGCTTCGTCATTCTGTGGATGTGTGTGCATGCCTGGTTCATGGCTTAACATCCCTGAGTGACAACATCTGCAGCCATGCAATTAAGGGCCCCCACTGTGAAAATATGCTTAGTCACTGAAATAATATTTGATTGTTGTCAACTATATGAAGGGACTTGGTTTTCACTGAGAACAATTAAGAGAATTATACAAAACTTTAATGTTACAGCTACTGTAGACCCAAATAAGGAACATTCTCTTGCAGGATATTTAGTGAACAATCAAAAAGTTCCAACTAAGGAGGCTGAAGAAAGGACTTTTCCATACTCCTCCTTCCTGGCTTAGGCAGCTTTGTGGGGCGGTTAGGGGGCTAGGCCACACAGCAGCTGGGATAGGAGCCCTAGGCTGCCACTAACTAGCCGCTAGTTAACATCTCTGTTTCTCTGATGATTAAAAGACATAAACAGTCACTACGTAGGTGTTCGAGCCGTTTTCAGATGCACATGTTCATGACACACATCTGTATGCACTGCTGCTTACTTGGTAATGTAGTGGCTGCGTTCACTGGTGGCACAGAGACGAGGGACTGGTTTACTTGTGGTGGTGGCAACAATGGCACTGTTGGTACACCTAAAATAAAAGCGCAAAAATACAAAAAATTTTCTAACATGTTTGGCTATAAAAGGACTCTTCAGCCTCTCCTGCTTTTGGCCCAGGCTGCTTTGGTTCCCACTTCTGGCCACATTGCTGGATATGCACCAGTCTTCATAGTGATACACCTTCTCTGCCACAGCAAGGACCTTACCCACAGCCTGAACTACAAAGACAAACAAGACAAAAGAAAAGGGTGGAGACTGTGCAACGCTGCTCCCCACGCTAAATTCACTTGACAAGAGGTTTGGACCTCATTTAAGTGGAGCTGGATTAGGAAACTGTCCTAGAAATTTGGAAATGGGATACAAAGATTCTAGCCATTCTACTGAGCTCCTGAACTAAGGGGCCCTGTAAACCCAGGGTTGCTGGGGAACCCTCCGCTAGGTGAAGAGGTGAGAGCTGGGCTGTGAAAGAAGACAATGACCTAGATACCTCAGGGAGACAAGAGCACATGGCCCTCTAGCATGGACAGCACGACTCGGCTTCCTGAGTCTGTTTCCTCTGGCCCTGGGTTCTACGATGCTCCTGTGCAGTCTACCACACCCCCATCTGTATGATGGTGGGGAGAGGAGGTTGGTTACATTCTCCATATACCAGTGACCCTCAGGACACCATGCGATAAAAGAGCTATCTACCAAGTTTACTGCCTACTCAACTGGGAGGTTTCTGATGTCAAGACAACAGTAATACAAGGCAAGCACCCTTAATCTGAAAACCCAAAAATCTGAGATGCTCCCAAGGTTGAATATAAGTAGAAAATTCCACACCTGACCTAGTGTGATGAGTGGAAGTCAAAACACAGATGCACTAAAAATACTGTATAAAATTCCCTTAGGCTGTGTGTATATAATGTCTATGAAACACAGATACCCTTCATCTTTAGGCTCGGATTCTACTCCCAAGGTATCTCATGATGCTATTTTCTTAAAAGTAGGAACACATGGTCCCCAGCAACTTCAGGTTTACAGGGCCAAATGAACACTTCTGGTCTCAAGCATTTCAGGTAAAGGTGTTCAAACCTTACCACACCCTTACAGATCTCTTAGAGATTTGCTTAAATATGGTAGCAGAAAAAAATTGTGCCTAAAATATGAACTACGCATACTCAAAACTCATTCATTCATTCATTCATTTACTCATTTACTTTTATGTAGAAATTAGAGGTGTGAAAAAGGGGGGAAAAAGCCTGGCTGAAGCACTGGCAAAGTGCTCTATGGGCTCAGGCTGCATAATTTCAAATATTGGAACAAATGCAAAGCTCCTAAAACTATGCACAACTTTTCTTTTCTCTTGGTTGTACTGGGGATTGCACTGAGTTACAACCTCAGTGCTTTCACTATTTTTTTATTTTAAGACAAGTTCTTGCTAAATTGCTAAACTGCCGAGGCTGGGCCGGAACATGTGATCCTCCTGCTTCACCCTCCCCAAATCCTGGGATTACAGGTGTGCACCACCACACCCAGATGACATTCAACATTTTCTGAGTGTCTACTTTTGAGATCTCTGCTTTTGTCAGATTTTCAAGATAGTGGGATGGATGGTTGATGTATTATTCCAAGTTTTGGGGGGCACCTATTATACATTAGACATTGTATTAGACACTGAAGGTCTTTATATCTTGAAGGAACAGAACTCACAGCCTTTGTGAAATTTACATTCTAATGAGCAGGAAAGGAGATAGATTATCAAATAAGTAAAAATCTACAGTATGTCAAATACATCCTCTGAAGAAAAATCAAGCGCAAAGGGGTGACAGGAAGTGTGAGGGGTCCCGAAAAGGTCACAATGATTAATGCGATTTCCAAATATATCTTCATTTTCTAAAAATTTAATAATCAAAACTTTCAAAGCCACAAAGAAGTTTGAAAAGCAAACACCACTCACTGTATCTCCACAGTTATTGCTTGGGTTACTCAGCAAGCAATATAATGTAATTAAAAGTGAAGATGGAAAAATAAATGTCCAACAAAAAGTTGTTTCTCACGTCCTGATGCTAGAATCCTATAATCTTTTAAGACTGATTCATTCAAAAGTGAAGATGTCAATTTCTTTCAGTCTCCTGTGAGCAACTACTGCTTTGTTTACCTTTCAGTCTTTAATATTTAAGAAGCCATTCCTAGGCAGTGTAAACACCAGGGTTCTCAGTGCATTGTGGGTAAGAGGATACCAGTGGAACTACAATGTAATGAAGGAAGATTAAAAATGTCACACAGAAACCAGAGATGTCAGCTCTGTCTTATCATCAAAAGAGCTATTATCGTATGGCATCTGCAACACTCTTACTCTAAAATGGGTAAGAATTATTCCACCACAAGATGGCCTGTTGCCTCAGGAAGTACCTCAGCCCAGCGTTACCAAGTCTTTTCAGGAATAAAGTAGGAGGCCATCTGATGGGATGTAATAAAAAACACCTTTATATCATAAAAGAACTCATGCACTGCTTGAATGAAATAAACTCTACGAGCCCTTCCAATGGTGTCTATGATTACCGATGATATTAATATCATCTAGAAGATATTTTAAAACTAGATTGTGGTAATGACACAGCTCTATAAATTACTAAAAGTCACTAAGAGTTAATTTCATGGTACACAAAATACAGTATACCTCAATAAAGCTGGGCAAGAAACCAGCAAAGGGTGGTTCTGATGACTGGTGATGCTGGGTCACGGGGGGTTCGGTTGCACTATTCCTTCATTGCTGTAGATGTCTGAAATTTTAAATTTTATTTAGAAAAAATGCCCAGTGTGAGCACAAATATTTAAAAGAGCTCAAATTGCTGGGCATGGTGGCACATACCTATAATTCCACATGCAGGAGGCTAAGATAGGAGGATCGCTGAGAGTTCAAGGACAGCCTGAACTGAACTACATATTGAGACCCTATCTCAAAACACAAAAAACAAAAACCAAACAAAAAAATTACATATATACGTCACTGTATATGAGCTAAACTAGCTAAAACATGTATTTCATTCCCTCACTCATCATTTATTGATTACCTGATATATAATTCTTGGTATTATGAAGAATGAAAACCAGAGAACAGAAAATTAGAAAAAGGGAAAAATGAAATTCAGCAACATACTAAGTTAAGAACTGTATCAAGACTTAATTTCACTCCCAGATATATAATGAAAACACGTGAATGTAAAAACTTCTACACAAATGTTCATGGCAGTATTATTCATAAAAATCTAAAAGTAGAAACATGTCCTAAATATCCATCAACTGAGAACAGATAAAGAAAACACTGTAGCCATATAACGGAACACTATTTAGCAATAAAAGTGAAATATTAATATATGCTACGCCGTCAGTGAGCATTGAAAGCATGCAAAATGAAGAACACCAGGTCAAAAAACCACACATTTCTGTAAGTGTCCAGACGGGGCAAACCCATAGGCAGAGATCTGATTAGCAGCTGTTTGGCTGGGAGGCTGGACAAAAGCAAGCAATGACTGGAGTTGGGTAGAGAGCTTCTTTGGGTACAATGCAATTGTCCAAAGTTGACCAAGGATTGAGGTATAGATTGTACAACTCTGCAAATACACTAAAAACCAAAGAACTGTATACTTTAAATGGGTGAATTGTATCATAGGAATTCTACCTGTATAAAGGTTTTTTTTTTTGATACCAGGGATCAAACTCAGGGCCTTGCACTTGTGAGGCACGTGCAGTGCCACTGAACTAAATACCCAGCCCTCCATAAAGTTATTTTACAAAGAATGAAAATAGCTGGGCATGGTGGTACACACCTGTAATCCCAGAAACATTCAGGAGGCTGAGGCAGGAGGATCACTTCAAGTCAGAGGTCAGCCTGAGCTACATAGTGAGTTCAAGGCCAGCCTGAACTGCATAATGAGACCCTGTCTGAAGAGAACAAAACAGGACCCGAGATTTAGCTCAGTGGTTTTGCCGCCTGCCTCGCAAGCTCAAGGACCTGAGTTAGATCCCTGGTACCCCCAACCAAAAAAAACAAAACAGAAATAAAATGAAAGGAATGAAAACAAAAAGGACTATATCAGGAAGAACAAAGAATAAAGGAGAGAGCTAGGAACATGTGCCCTAAGTAAGCTGAGCCCCTAATGAACAGGATCCTGCTTATTTCTGCAACCCCTGTGCCTACTAACCAGGAAACAGGCAAACAGAGCTGTTAAGAGAAATGAGAGGCAGAGGCCTAACTCTGCAAGCTACCCAGTCTGAGAGAAGCCTGGGCCTAAGTTATGCAGAGAACAGGTTTAAATGGTGACCTGTGTGTATGAGTATGGTGTTTTGGTACCTGGTTTCACATAGGACCTGTCTGTTCATGCAGAGAGTATTTACAGCTTTCAAGGCACACTGGCACTCCTCTGTAAAGTTCTATACAAGCATGTCATGTAAGACAAAAGAGCTTGGAAACAGAGTATTTTTGCATACCTGTACTGAGAACATTACTGACAGCTGGTGGAGTTGGGCTAAAAGAAAGTCCAGACAGACCCTGTTCAATTCCTGTAGTTCCTGGTGGTGACAAAGATGGAGGATTGACTGAGGACAGCTGGACCTTCCAAAAAAGGGGGGGGGGACAGGAAATTACTTAACTCATTAAGAGTGCATAAATCATACCTCTTACATGTCCTTCACATCCATACTTGGATTGTATACTAGCTGTCCAAGGTTTCCCCCGGCACTTCTACCCCAGGCACTGCTTGCTAATGTTGACACACATCCAGGCACTATGCCCTGGAAACAGCCCTCTGTCCCTTCACTTTCCTGATTTGGACACAGCTTTTAGCAACAGTTATATATGCTGACAGCAGGAGAGATTCTACCCTCTCCTCCTTCCTAGTCACCCAGAATTCATTCTATTTCAACCCTTAAACACCACTGCTTCCCTCTCTGTATTCTCAACCAGTTGCTTCAAGCAAACAAACACACATACATGCACAAACTTTTTATTGTTCATGAAATAAATCAGCTGGAAGTCTTAATATCATGATACATTTATAAAGAAACAGGATTTCTAACCTCTTGGATTCCTTAGCTCTTTTCTCATCAGTGAGTAACTTCAGGGGAGTAGAGTCTCTGTGGACACTATGGATGGTGGTGTCACTTCTGCACCCTCTAACTGCTGCCAGCTTTAGTGCCTTTGGCTGTGTTCCCACAGCTCAAATCTGTGTCTTTTCCAGCTGCCATTCTACCCTCCAGTCTTCTCAGTCAACCCTCAGAGGTGCACCGGGGCACAGTGTGCTGAGTAGGGGGCAGCAGAGCCAGCTGTGGAGGCAGAATCACTACACTGGCCCTGGACCTGAAGCTACAGTGAGGGTGAGGAGCGAAGAGCTGTGAAGCTTCTCAGTAGCTTCACTTCACAGTGTTGGGGGCCAAACTGTGCGCCAAAAATGACAGTGGCAGTAGACTCAACTTTACATTTTCTTTTTGGGTTTTTATTATGTTTTTTTGTTTGTTTGTTTCTTACCTAGCAGTGCAGACAAGAGATAACTGTCCTGGGATGCTATCACAGGAACACCTTAACACCCTGGAGGCCTACACAGACACCTGGCTCTCCTCACTCCTCCATGAAGTTTCCTGGAGCAGTGAGCACTGCGACCCTTTCCTTCCACCCTCTACACGCTATGTCACTGTCATTTGGTGTTGGCTGCCCATCAGGTCTGGAACGGTTCTTGCCTAGGACATCTTTCCACTCCTGTCACCTGACTTCCCTGAAGGTGTCACCTCCTTCTGACTTCTCCTTAGCTGCTCTACTGCATCTTTCACTGCCCATCTAGGTTTTCAAGATTCCAAGCTTGGTCCTCAAACCCAGACAGGACCAAGGGCTTAACAATTTTTATCAACATTTTCTCGGTCAAATTAACCTCTCTGGTTCAGGATTTCCAAGTCGGTGTCGCTTCCCGTCTGCTCTTTCCTAAATCAGGCTCACATACATAAACTCCACCCAGCTATCGTCCAGAAAACTCAAACTCAACATGACCATCAATATTTAACTCATCTCATCTGCTCGATCTGTTGCTACCGCCCTATGCACTCACACATTTGACTTGTTTTGGTGGAAACCATCAGGTAGTAATCTTACCTCTGTAAACCCATCTTTAAGAGGACTAATAGGTGTGCCGGTCATTTGTCCTGGAAGAGAGATTTTTTTTCCTTCTTCAAATGGGCGTGTAGGTATTCGATGCAGATAACCATATCCAATGCCACATCCTAGGCTATAAAAACATTTGTTTCTTAAAGGTATTAGTGCCAATCATAGCTTACATTTGAAGTTTTGAAATAAACAAACACACATACATCAATTCTTTTAAATAATGCCATGTTATTAGGTCTCTACTGTCCACCTCATTTAATACAGCATTCTGCCCTTGAACATGGACACTGCCCTTACTTTATTTTTCTATAAATGTTTATCATTAACTAACACACTGCATATTTATTTGTTTACTATTCTTTTCATTAAAACACTAAGGCCAGCAAGGGGAGAGACACTGTTCACTTACTGACTAAATAATTCCTGGTACATGATGGACACATCATTTGCAGAGTGATACACAACTACCCCCCGAGGAGCTCTATGCGCTTTTCCGTGATGGTATCATCTACACATCCCGTAGTTCTATTTCAGAATGCGACACAAAGCAGTCGTGCATATCTAATCCAGATTTCTTCTAATTCATCCTCCTGCTGCTACCAGAAGCATTTTTCTAAAAAGACATGATCACACTTCCTCCTCACATGCCCCTTTCCTTCTTCCCTTTGGGGAGTTGCTTCTCTGTCATTGTGTGCAGTGCTGGGGGGACTGTCAATCACGGTGCCTGCCCTGCTCAAGGGAGCAGCTCATGGATGAAGCCAGGCCAGTCAATTTTTCTTATCCAGGACTGCAAATCTCAAAAGGAACAGAAAACCAAAAAAATGGCTTCATCCCTTCTGCAGAAGGCTGACAGAATTCTCAATTAGCTCTTCTTATCTAAATTCCTAAAGGTATTCTAGTCCTGCTCTTTCCACATCTGGTTCTTTCCCTGTCTCCTTAACTATATGAGCTAACCCTTATCAACAAGTTTGTCTACTTAAGATAGTGACAGCTGATTTCTGTTTGTAACCAAAGAGGGCCTACTGATACACTCAGAACATAATATACCCTCAAAGTATGTTTAAATACCTGACCATGGTAAGACTCTCTATACTTAGGTTTCTAAGTATGGAAGCACATGCCTACAATTCAAGCTACTTGGGAGGCTGAGGCAGGAAAATCCTAAGTTTTGATGTTTTGGGCAACTTAGTGAGACCTTAAATTCAGTAAAAAGGGTGTGGCTCAGTGGTAGAAAGTGCTCGGGTTCCAGACCCAGTAGTGCCCCCCAATTATTGATTTCAATATTGTAGGTCAAGTCTTTTTTTCAAAAGAAGTATTATAATATTTCATGACAAAAGCAGCCAATGTTAAAAAACAAACAAACAAACAAACAAAATTTTAAGGGCTGGGGATTTAGCTCAGTGGCTCCAACGCCTGCCTTGCAAGCGGCAAGGGCCCGAGTTCCATTCCCAGTATCAAAAAACAAACAAACAAACAAACAAAACTAACCAATGTTCACACCTGACTGGTAAGTTTAGGCAGTCACAACTTAGTCTAAAAATAACCACCGTACCTGCCCTCTCCACCCCATGCGGAATTTGGTGTAATAATCACTTCTCGACAGTTATCGGTGTCTGTGTTATACACATAAAGCTTCAGTGGCTTTGCTTCATGGGTTTCGATAAGGCTGAAAAGATCTTCAGACTGCAGGAGCATCACAGGAGAAAAGCGTTTTTAAAATTCTGTACTTTAGAATGGTGGATTGCAAACCTGGCTACTATCAGTATTACCTGGGCAACACCTTTGAGAAGTATGCGTTCTGGACCCTGGACCCTTCCCCAAACTAATTCTCCACATGAGATTCAAAATACATAAATACAATAGAAATTCAAACAAGGCCACTCAGTGCAAGGCCCTTGTCTTTCTTCTAATGAGGCCTAAAACGCACTCCAAGTTTTGCTTTACTTTCCATTATTAAAATCTGGGCCTTATTTTTCTCAGTTTCGACTTAATAATGTACGCTTCCACTAGTTAACAGAGGAGGAAAAGGATCTAGCAGCTGAGATAATTCTGTCACCTGAAAAAGCAAAAAAGAGAAAAGAAAACTAAATCAATGACCAAAGTGAGGATTTGATTTAGTCTTGAGAGGTCTAAGAGATCTCTGTATATCACACACAAAATTTATATAATTACCACAGTATGTGCTTTTCCTCACAGCCATACCCAATAAAATAGTCCTAGAAGTTTCATTTGACACAAAGCCTAAGCTATCTTGATGAGCAAAAACCAAGATTTCAACTCTTAGGATTTCAACTCTTAATGCAAAGCATGCAAATATCTTCCTAAATTTAAACATCAATGAGAAAGCCAGGCATGGTGGCGCATGCCTGTGGGGGCTGAGGCAGGATTGCTGCAAGCTTGAGGTCAGCCCAGTCTACATAGTGCATTCAAGGCCAGTCTGAACTACACAGTGGTGAGACCCTGTCTCAAAAAACAAACAAACAGGGCTGGGAATTCTTACCACAAGTGCAAGGACCTGAGTTCTCTCCCCGGTACCAAAACAAACAAACCCATCAAGGAGAAAATATTGTATAATTAGTAATGAACACCGATTACCTCATTCATGACTGTATCTGCTCCAATGATATAATCACTGTGAGGTCTAAGACCTGCCAGTGCTGCAGGAGAATTTGATTCCACTTCCTAGGACGACATCAAAGCATGCTCTCAAATTAATAAATATACACATATATAGATATCTATATCTGTATCTATTTTTCCAAGTTTCATAGTCAGTTCTTAATTACAGTGATTAAAAAAATTCCCTATTTCTGTCTTGTAAGAGATATTGTCAGATGTAAGAAAACAGAGTATACTTAAAACTTCCAACCATAAAAACTATGTAATACTTTAAATATTTCTGTAGCTATTTGCCTTAATCTTTTTCTAATGAACAAAGCATTAGAAATGGAATTCTTGGGCTGGGGATTTGGCTCAGTGGTTCCACAGCCTGCCTTGCAAGCAAAAGGGCCCGAGTTCAATCCCCAGTACCACAAAAACCAAAAAACCAAAAAGAAAAAAAAAATGGAATTCTTAAACTTCTATATCTGCTTCTCTTAAGGTTTAAAAAAGGTTAATCCATTATTAACAAGCAATGAATGCTGAGTGTAAGAAACTAAAGCCAACCTAACAACAATCTCCTTACAATGTCCCCAACCCAGAGATGACCACTGTTGCTGCCTCTTCCTACGCTGCTTCTTACTATGCACATAACTGTTCCTGGTCCATACCTACCAGCACATGCCAAACGTTTTCATTTGCCCCATCAAAGCTGCAGAAACGAATGCTCACACCCAACAATCCCTGGCCACCCCACATGTTGCTGGGTGTGACTGATGTCTCTCGCAACTCCAGGGTTTTGCTGCTATAGATGAGCATTTTTACAGGCTTTTCAACATTTGCTTTCAGTAGATCCTTAAGAGTATCATTGTCTTTATTCTGTGAATATATAGAAAATATATTCCCTAATAAATAAAAACAATATTAACTATTTTTACCTTAAGCATCCTATATCCCTAAAAGAGTAATATTAATAAGCAACATAAAAAAACTGAAGGCTGAACATGGTGGCACACTCCTGTCATCCTAGCACTCTGTAAGAAACTGAGGTAAGAGAGTACCAAGTTTAAGCCCAGCCCAGGCAACTTTGGGAGAACCTGTTGCAAAAATAAAAAAGGGCTGGGGTCACACACACACACACACACACACACACACACACTCTCACAGAACTTGAACTTTTTTCTAATAGATATGGATTTTGCAACCCAACATTACTTAGCATGATCAAGGGCTTCAGTGATTGAAAACACAATATTGTATAAGAAGTTATATCACTACCAAAGTTGGAATGACTCTGATTTTTAAATCTAAAAGATTTGCTGAGGTTTAATTTTGGACTCTACTTCTAAACATATACTTTATTATTTATTAGGAACGAGAAGGAAAATAAAATGGTATACAATATTAAATATTGTATTATATAAATGAATCATAGCCATTGTGTCAGAGATGTTAAGTAATGAACAAAAACTTAAAATTGTTATAAAAAATAAACTAACTTAGTAACTATTGTCCTAAGAATTTCCTTTGTTGAGATTATATAATTTCTTGCCTATAAGACTTTATTGTGGGTAAATAAAAACAATTTATAAAAAGTGGTTTTAATTCTGTACCTTTACATCTCTCTGTCTGGTTCTGACAAAATTATGTATCATGAAACTTAACTCCAAGAAAACTGACAAGTAAATGACACTTTACTAATCCATTTGTCAACAAGCTGCAGAAGTCGGACACTTTAAAAAGCAATCTTTCTCATCCTAATTATTTCTTTCTGCTTATAAAAATTAAATATAGAACAAATAAAGTGAAAGACTCCAGGGATTCTTCTCCTCTAAGATAATCATTGAACTATGGTATGCAGTACAGTAGTAGAGATTTGACATTTTAATATTTACTGATAGATCATTACAGTATTTGTATCATATGCTACATATTTGTAACTCATTAATGAAAACCCATCCCAGATAATCTGAAAAGGCCAATCAGTAAAATATTATGAAGTGCTACAGACAAAATTACCAAAAAAGTGAACTTACTAATCTTGAACCATTAATAGAAACAATAAAGTCAAAGAAAGGCTCCAATCCAGCTCTATGTCCCGGGGAATTTTCTTGTACCTGTAAAAACAAAATACCAAAAATGAAAAATGCAATGTAAGTTAAAAAAAGCAAACACTGCTAAAAGCTAAAAGGAAAAATTATAAGGTAAATTTTCTTTTTTTTCCCCATTAAGTTTATTGGTGCTTTTTAGGTATACAATATAGTTACATTCATCATTGGGATCTTGGTTGTTCTTTTTTCCCCATTCCCCTGACCTCCCTTCACCCCTCCATCCTTCCATATTTACATATACTTTGTTTCCATTTTCCCCTTTTCTCATATTTTTCTTTTCCCTTCTTTCCTTTCCCCTCTCCTTTCCACTTCCCCTACTCCTTTAGACCTTTCTTCCTATTTCACATTATCAATTATACAAATTGAATCTTATTTACACTTTTAGTTTTCACACCAAAGAAACTATCTGGTTTACACATGTGTGTCCCATTTATTTCACTTAAGAAATAAGTGAAATGTGCATCCATTTAGCTATAAATGTCTCTAGTTCCTCATTCTTTATGGATAAGCTGTACTCCAATTTTAGAAAAACCACACCTTCTTTATCCAGTCTCCAGTTGATGGGCAACTGGGCTGTTGTAAGGTAAATTTAAATACGTAGCTATCCCTTTTCAGTAAAAATAGACTAATTTGATAATGAAATATTAGCACAAAGTAATTCTCTAACTTCTCTTTTTCCAGATAATGTCCCTCCAACTCCCTAAATTTTACCCATGCTTTAAATTCATCTGTATGAGGCTTTTTTCCTCTATAGCTCTATTTCTATACCACTTTCTACTTTGTGGAGGGGTGGGGGGGAGTCCTCCAAGCCATTGGCAGATTTAAGGGAAGAGTTCATCATTACAACTGAAAAACACATTCATTCCTTAACTACTAGACTAGCAAGGAACCATTCAGCTACATCTCTATGAACTACAATGAGACAGTTACAATCTGTTGAGAAACAGGCAAGAAGTGAGGAGGTGGACATACAACCCTCCAGTCACTGTATACAAAACCAAGAGGCTAAGGTTATATAATGAGGTTCTAAGGGGAAGATACGAAACAGACTAAAATTACGACCTTTTCTAACTTCACACTAATATTAGTACCCACTAATAGAAATACGGCTAGTAAAGCAAAAAAGTGAATAAAATCTACTTTACATTTTCTTCTCCAAAATATTTTCACAATGGCCTAAGGAATTTTTATTCTGCTTGACATAATTAAGCAATGTCAAAACTGTCCTACAAAAAGAGAAAGTTTGCACTGATATTTATAGGCTGATTTTAATAGTCAAAGCAGTCATTCAATCATATATGAAGCTGGAGCTATTTATACAATAATAAATCATTTTAATCCTTTTGAAATGGAACATAGGTTGTTCCCAGAACACATTCTTGAATACCAATGCCAATCAGAATTGTTAATTTCTGGATTAATGTTACCTTTTATAATTATTTACTTGAAGCCAAATTGTAGTACCACTGCCCTTAAATGAGAAATAATAGGCTCTCTTCTTTTGCCATAGTAAATACATACCCATTGTAAGTGGTTCGGTGTTTACCTTACTAAAACTATTTGATCCTTCTTTGTGTATGTTTTCCTGCAAGTCTGAGACAAAATTCTTCTTAATAAGTTAAATATAAAATGAATCCATTATTTAAAGGTGCTAGTAACAAAATAATCAGAATATGTTGCTTAGTTTCTTCATCCTCAGTTTTTATGAAATAAGGGTTATTTCCTATGCTGTGTATTAGCAAAAAAATGTCTATACCCCAAAATAACAGATTTCTACACAGACAGAAACTCTGAAAGGTAAATGGTGGCTGCCTAGAGTCATTATAAGAAAAGCGAGGTCAAGTTAGAGCTAGCAAGGAAGAATCAAACTACTCCGTGTACAAAGTCTTGCCATTAGGTGGCTCTCAGATGTGAAAGCCCTCAGGTGTAAAAGGGTGGAAATGCCATAGATTCCTAGGGGCCCCACAAAGAGCAGTTTCTAATTTAACAGGGTTTCAATCCCATCATCTAATTAAACCTGAATGTTTCCAAATGACAATTAATACCATTTCATTTAGAACATAACCAGTTTTTTTTCTAACCAGTTTATTGATTAACTCTGGACTTCACTGAGGCTTGCTAACAGTTCACTAGAAAAAAACAGATAAGAAAGCTCTTTTGGTTTTGTTTATTTATTATTATTATTATTATATATATATTTTTTGGTACCAGGGATTGAATTTGGGTCCTTGCGCTTGCGAGGCAGACGCTGAAACCACTGAGCTAAATCCCAGGCCCCATGATAGTACTTTTGTAATGTCATTATCAACTTAGAGAGTTGGCCCTATGTACTGATTTGTATCATGCACTTTACCAAGAATAAAGTTGGATATCTGAACCATCAGAAGTATTATTCCTATAATTCAAATCAAAAAGATTCAATAGTTAAATTTGAATTCTAAAATAAGTAAACTTAAATCATCCTTTCTCCAACTGTTTTTCTATTTTATTTGCTACTGACCCTGATTTCCCTTCTGTTTCTAATGGACCCTAAAATTAACTTCTTCCTCAAATTCATTTATATCATTATTAGCGAGAACATTTATGAGAAGTAGGTATCTTAATTATCTCAAGGAAACCAGCAGAGGGAGCCCTACAAATTGCTCTCTGGTGTTAGTATATTTATAAGAAATTTCCTATATTTCATAACACAGAAAATAAGATATACAGAACAGCAAGTAAACATCTACACAGGTAAGTTTTTCTTGCAATATTATCTACTGACAAGAATCTCTTAGATACCCAATCTCCCCAGCATCAGATTATTACTTCAATACTTTCTGTCTCCTGCAAGATCTCTTGGTGGTTAATCTATCTTCTTCATCCTTGAAACTTCTTAGTCTGTATGTACTTGGATCCATAGGACTTTAACATGTATTACTGGGCCAAGCACCATAGTAATTTAAATGAACAGGTTAAATTTGAAGATTTAGAAATCTTTAAGATATTATAATAAAAATGTACAGTGCAAAAAGGATAGTTTTGGAGTAGACGGAGTTGGTTTTAAGCCATGGTTTTCACCCACTTGTTAGCCATGTGAGCTTGGGAAAGTTTACCTTTCTGGATCTTAGTTTCATCATTTCAAGTAAGGGATAATGTCATCTACTTTATATAAGAATATTATAAAGTTTCAATGAGTTAAAGTTCATGAAAGGCCTAGCTAATCCCATTGCCTATGATAGGAGCCCTATAACTCTTAAACTTGCTTTCCTACCTCTGCCACCAACACCCAAGAATATACATTTTTAACCAACGAATACTTTGATACTAGGCTATTGTTCTGAATGTTTTTAAATATCTCTTACTATTTTTGTTTTGTTTTTTGAATCAGATTCTCACTATGTAGTTCAGGCTGGGCTTGACCTCATGGAGATATTCCTGCCTCAGCCTCCCAAGTGCTGGAATTACAGACATATGCCACCATGCTCAGCTTCTCTTATTCTTTAAAAAAAGAAAAACAGAAGAAAAAACTTGTAAAATATTAGTCAACTGGGGAGGGGAGATGAAAATTATTTTCAAAATATTGCCCCACACAAAAATATATTTTTTTGTGGTACCAGAGATTGAATGCAGGACCTTGCATTTGCAAGGAAGGCACAGTGCCACTGAGCTAAATTCCCAGCCCTCAAAAATCAATTCTAAATGGACAGCAGATGTAAGAGTTAAAGCTTTTGGAGAGAAAAAAAAATCTTAGACCTTCAAGAATGCAGACTTCCTAAAATGGACACACACAAAAAAGACTCATTATCAAATAAAAAATTGATGAACTGCACTATATTAAAACTAAGAACTTGTGATTATCAAAAGGAGATGAGCAATTAAGAGAGTAAAAGATACACATCCAACAAAGTATATGCATTCAGAGCAAATAATTGAACTACTGCAAATTATTAAGAATAATAGACAAGCCGGGCATTGTGGTACATTCCTGTAATCCCAACATTCTAGAAGGCTGAAGCATAAAAATGGCAAGCTTGAGTCCTGCCCAGTCAACTTAGTGACTTAGCAAGCCCTGCTTCAAAATAAAAAATGAAAAAGGGCCAGAGACCTGGCTTGGCTGTAAGCCCCCAGTACCAAATAAATAAATAATAATAAAACCACAATGAGATACTATTTAACCACTAGAATATGAAAACTAAAAAAGACAGTAGCAAGTGTTGACAAGGATGCAGAGAAACTGGAGCCTTCATACACTGCCAGTGGGAATACGAACTGCAGCTGCAGTAGTGCTGTGGAGAACAGTTTGGCAGATTGTCAAATCGTTAAACATGAAGTTATGACTCAGCAATTGCACTCCTAACATACAACCAAGAGAAATACATTCCACACAAAAATGTGTATACAAATTTCAGAACAGCACTGTTCATAACAGCTAAAAAGTAGAAAGAATGCAAATATCTCTCAACTGATGAATGCATAAGCAAAATGTGTTAATATCCATATAAGGAAATAAAGTACTTTATCTATGTACTGTGACATAATAAACCTTCAGAATATGCTGTTAAAGAAGCTAGTCACAAAAGACCACAGTATTGTATGATTCTATTTATATGAAATGTCCAGAACAGACGAATCCATAGGGGTTGTGGGTAGAGGAAGGGGAGTCTCTTCTAATGGGGATGGGTTTCTTTCTGGAATAAGAAGCACTGGAGGCCGGGTGTGGTAGTGCACACCTGTAATCCCACCACTCGGGAGGCTGCAAACTTTAAAAGACTGGATTTTATGGTATGCAAATTATATCACAATAAAATTGCTTAAAAAGATAGTGGGGCAGAGATTTTAGCAGATGCTGACACTGAGGCTATCAAGTGACCAATATATATGAAAATATGATGAATTGTAATGGGCATGAAGGAAATGCAAACTAAAACCACAACGTAATAACGTTACACACCTATCAGGAATGTCCAAAATGAGAAAGATGAGTTGGGTCTGGTGGCACACATATTTAATTCCAGTTTCTCAGAAGACGAAGGCAGGAGGACTGTAAGATCATGGCCAGCCTGAGGAATTTAGCAAGACTGTTTCAAAAGGAAAAGAAGAGGTACGGCAGGCTAGGGATGAGCTCAGTGGCAGAGTGCACCTGCTAGCAGGTCCAAGGCCGAGTTCCGTTCCCAGTACTGGGAACAAAATACAAACATGCTCCACAAAAAAATCAAAACATAAAAAAATAAAATGAGGAAAATGGAAAATATTAAGGTCTAGTGAAGATATGGAACATCAACACTGCTGGTGGGATATGAATTAGTAAACTATTTAACAATAACTATTAATATTGAAAATATGCATACCCTTTCACCCAACATTCTACCCCTAAGTGTATACCACTATAGAAATATGTATACACATGCTCCAAAAGACATACAGTATAATATTCATAGCAGTGTTCCACTATGCTATTTGTAATAGCCCCAAATGGAAGACTACACAAATGCCTGTTAATAGCAGTTTAAAAGGTGAATAAAAGTTGCTATAATCTCTCAATAGTATCATATGCTTTAATGAGAGGTCTATTATTTCACAAGCAATATTTGAGCAAAAGAAGCCAGATAAAAATGAAATACATATATATTACATGGTCTCATTTACATAAAGTTCAAGAACAGGCCACCCTAAGTCAGTGCATCTAGAAATCAGAATCACGGACAGTATTTGCCCTGGTTGAGGTGGGGCTGAATGGAAGCGGAGAAAGGGAGTGAGGTCCTGTGGACAGGAGGCAGTTGTCTGTAAAGATTCACAAAGTCATTACAAGGGGATGCTCTTTTAAATAAAAAGTTTTAAGATAGGCTTTCTCTATTTAAAAAGTAGGTAAGAAATTACTAAGAGACTATAACCCCATACTTCACATATGTAGAGCACTTTGAGAACGTGCAATCAAGTGAAAAAGGAACAGTCAATATAAAGGCCACAAAATGACCTATTCTAATGCTCATTCTTCTTTATAAGGACACATCAGGACCACGCTTGGACCCCGTTTATATTTCCCTAATTTAGCTATCCGATTTCCAGGTCACTAATAGCCAAAAGAAAGGAAAGAGAAAAAACTGCTAATGCCGTTTAATAGTGAGTACTCACTGTGAGCTTATACAAACTAAAGGTGTAACTGTGACATCTTACAGGGAACACAAAGACAAAAATCTCCAAAATAAAGTTGTTTATAGACCATTTTGTGGTGATGAAAATGTTCTACATGTGTGCTGTCCAATAAGGTAGCCAGTAGTTGCATGTGACTACAAAGCATTGGAAATGTGGCTGGTGTAACTGAGGAACTGAAATTTTAAATTAATTTACATTTAAGTTAAAATAGTCACAGGTGACTTGAGGTCCTGGATTAGAAAACGTAAGTCTACATGATAGCCTACATAATTTGTGTACCAACATGGAACATCGACTGATGGTCATAATGACAATAAAGACACAAGGAGGTTAAATTACATTCAGCCCCTATCCACACAGGGGAAAACATGTTTACTAGAGTGAAGTTATGATTCCAACTATGTGATATTCTGGAAAAGGTAAAACAATGGAAAAAGGAAAAATACCAGTGGATGCTGGGGCCCAGGGGTTGCAGAGGGATGACTAGGTTGTGCAGGAAGGACAGGCAGTGGGACTTCTGTGTATGACGCTACAATGGTGGGCACATCCTTATAAATTTGCCCAAACCCACAGAATGTACGACACAAAGAGTGAATGAACCCTAAGTTCACAAGACTATAAATGATGGACCTTGGATGACAATGATGTGATGTAGGTTCATGAACAACAACTAATGTACCACTCTGGGAGGGTGCTGATCATAGGGAGGCTATGGGAAATCTCTGTACTTTCTGCTCTATTTTCCTGTGAACCTAAAAAAATGTCCTGAAAAATAAAGTCCACTAAAAAAGGATTTTCATATACCATAGGTTTTTTTTTCTTTTAGACAGAGTCTTGCTATGTAGCTCAGGCTGGCCTTGAACTCACTATGTTGCCCAGGCTGGCCTCAAACTTTCAGGGATTCTCCTGCCTCCTCCCTAAGTGCTGGGATTACAGATGTGTACCACCATCCCCAACATTTTTGATACTTAAAGGAAAAAACATCCAGTCATAAAGAAAACTATGACTATATCCAAACCTCCCTGAAAACTCCAATGAGCATTTTGATAGAGCACTTTTTCTCATTATTTTCAGGCTACATGGTTTAAAGAATTAAGTAACAATATGATGCAAATGAAAATAAATTAAACCTAGAAGATAATTATTTTAAAAAATTATTTTTAGGTTGAAGGGAGGGCAGGGGAATAGGGAAAAAAAATAAGAACCAAGATACATCATGTAAAGGTACAAGTTCCCAAAGATGAATGTAACTGTACTATATACCTAAAATGTACCAATAAAAGAATTTAAGAGGAAAAAAAACCCCACAAACTATAGGGACAGAGTTTAATAACTTGTGAGATGGACTTGAAAAAAATTATTTTAAAATGTTATCAAAATATGCACAGGCAGGGCAGAAGAAATTACGAATGCAGTTTCTAGTATTTCTAATAGTTGAAAGTTGTCTTAAGCAAATAAAAATCACAGCATGAGATAAATGCTTCCATCACTCTGGGGGAAAAAAACCCAGCTACAATCAACAAGATGAAATCTGCTAGACATTATTAATCCCTCAATGAGCAAAGGTGAGAAGCTTATGATGAGACTGCACAGTAAAGGGGCACGCCTACTGCATAAAAAGAAATGATCACCAATGATTGCAGGCTGCATTTTTCAATCACAGACCCTTCAGGAATAATCTCTAATGTGGTGTCAATTCAACTACTAATGATAGTTTCAGTAGGTCTGGAAATCAATTTGGTGGGTCATACTATGATAAAGACCAAAACAGACATTAGACAAAATACCAAAAATCTATGACATAAGGATATTTTAATGATGTGGTAGGATGTACTGGTTGCAAAAGAAAAGTTTTTTTACTTTGAACTATAAAAAATAAAAAATAAATTTGAAAAACTGCCCAAGATACCATAAAACTTTTTGTTCAGTCAAGTTCTAGGTAATAAAAGCCATTAAGTTTAACTAGGTGTGGTGATACATGTCTGTAATCTCAGCACTTTGGGAGGCTGAGGCAGGAGAATCAACAGTTTGAGCCTAGCCTGGAAAACTTAGTGAGACTGTGGCTTCAAAAAGAAAAAGGCTTGAGATATTCCTCAGCATAGAGGCCCTGAGTTCAACTCCCAATTCTGGTTTCACTCTTTCATCATCTTTTGATCGTGGATCATTTAGGTTAGGTTTTTACCAGAGTTAGTCTGAAAACAAATTCCCCGCCTATAGATCTCACTATTCTCTACTGGTTGCTTTCTAATAAATTACCCATCTCTTTTTCACAATTAAGAGTTCCAACTGTACTATTCTACTATGTATCACTTTGTATCAACCTTTTCTTTCTTCTAATTTGTAGATCAGGAGAAGCAGGGTCCACAGTGTAGAGAAGATAAGCAGGTAGAGCAGGGGTTAGGCATTCTATTTACTTATGTGCTTCCAGCTGAGGTACACCATCTGCTAAGGTAATGACAGGAAACCACAAAGTTACTTTTTGAACACTACAAGAAGCCGACAGTAACTGTCACCTTTTTATCACTGTACCATATACCTTTTATAAAATGTAGATAAATCCCTTTGAGTGACTGTTTACACCATCTCCTCTAGCTTTCAATTTAATGTTAACGTGCTCACTTTTCCTCTTTCTTTAAAAACTGCAGAAATACTAAATAAGACTAGAAAATAAATTAAATCCAAGTAACACCTAAATGAATCACTTCAACCAAATGTATTAACCCTTCTGTTATGGGTGTTTACCTAGGTGATCAAAATGATGGCAGAAGATTGGCATATGTGATATAATAAAAGACATCTAGGGCAAGTTATTCTACGACTGCAAGTGAGCAAGATTCCCTATTGGATCTAGATATAGATGTAGTCCCAGCTACTCAGGAGGCTGAGAAGGGACCATCACTTGAGCCCATGAGTGAACATTAGAAGAACAATGATGAAAGAAATGGTAGTCTGCTCCAAAAGAAGTTAAAAACTCTCAGTCTGTCAGCTCATCTTACACTCTTCAAATTTCTGAGAGCAAGAAAACTTGCTGTGTGACCCTGGCATATCAGATTAATCTCTCTGTGCTCCCTTTTAGCTGTAAAGTGAGGAGGTGATTAGATGGTCTACAAGACTGAATGACTTATCATGAAATAAGTCTTCAATTCTACAATGAAGAAAATCAGAGGCAGCAAGATCACTTTAATTACAGACTTTTGGTCATTTTAATGAATGAATAGAGAAACACAAGGGTATGGCAACGAGAATACTGGCACTCACCTATGTTTTAAAAAGCAGATGATTTCCTAAAAAGTAAAGATACTTATAAGTCCTTTTCACTTACTATGAGTCATATTTGACTCAAAACTTATGTGTTTTTTTAAATTAAGTTTACTGGTACATTTTAGGTACACAGTACAGTTACATTCATCATTGGATCTTGTACCTTTACATGACAGGTCTTGGTTCTCATTTTTTCCCCATTCCCCTGCCCTCCCTTCACCCCCTCCACCACCCCTCCCTATTTACAAAGACTTTGTTTCCATTTTTTTTCCTTTTCTCATATTTTTTTCTTTTCCCTTCTTTCCTTTCCCCTACCCTTCCCACTTCTCCTACACTTTTAGCCCTTTTCTTCCTATTTCACATTGTCAATTATACTTTTCACACCAAAGAACTATTCAGTATTTACACATATGTGTACTATTTATTTCACTTAAGAGTATGGGCTCAATGTGCATCCATTTAGCTATAAATGTCTCTAGTTTCTCATTTTTAAAAATTAATTAATTAATTTACTTATTTTTTGGTACCGGAGATCGAATTCAGGCCTTGTGAGGTAGGCGGTGGAACCACTGAGCCAAATCCCTGGCCCAAGTTTCTCATTCTTTATGGCTGAGTAGTGCTCTATTTTATAGAAAAACTACATCTTGTTTATCCAGTCTCCAGTTGATGGGCAACTGGGCTGTTTCCAAGTTTTAGCTATTACAAACCGTGCCGCTATAAACATGGGTGTGTATATATCACTGTGGTATGATTCTTTAAATTCTTTTGGGAAGATACCCAGCAGAGGGATGGCTCTCTAATAAAACTTATGTTTTAAATAGCAGCAAAGTAAAGGGTTAGGTACGTGCACAAAAAAAGTAGCTACTGATTAAAAGGAAATACTATGAGTTTTGCACCATGTTTATTTTTATGGTACTGGAAATTGAGTCCAGGGGTGCTCTACCATTAAGCCATATGCCCAGGCTTTTGTATTTTTTATTTTGAGACAGGGCCTCCCTAAATTGCCTGGCCTGGTCTCAAACTTGCAATCCTCCTTCCTCAGCCTCTTGAGTAGCTGGGATTACAGGGATTCACCACTGTGCCCAGCATAACTAGTATATTTTCACTAGAGCCACTCTTGCAATAACGATTCTCAGTGAGTGATACAATAATGCAAATGCTAGTAATAATGGTATCAACTAACATTTATGGAGTATTTATCATATTCCAGATTCTATACTGTTAAGCATGGAATATCTCATTTAATCAACACGATAACCAGTAGACAGTACTGTTTTAGTAAAGAGATTTAACAGCAACCATTTCCAAAATATTCTCAGATAGCTAATGTAGTTTTCAATGGAAAAAGATGGAAGAGGCACTATTATCCCCACTTTTCGGATAAAAAGACTGAGGATTAGGGAAGTTCCAAGGGAGTTCCCAAGTGTGGTCTCCAGTGGTCTACTGTAATAATTTTTCAATGTATTTATGTTCCCAGGATGACATGATTCTTTATTTCTAAAAATTTGCTTGAATGGTCTCTTGTTGGTACTGAAAAAGTGGGGAGGGGCAGCAGAGGAAATGAGAGAACAAAAGCTCGACATCCTTCTTTTTATGCTGCAGTAAATTTACTTGCAGTTCCAAGAGGGAAGTGTGTAATCTCTCATAGTTAACTATTGTACTTTCATTCTGAGTTTGTCTCTTAGAAAATAAGTCATCTTACTTGATAATAATTCCTCCCCAGGCATTTACAGACAAAATTCTGAAGCAAAACCAAATCTTCACAGATATATTTCCAGGTTAGACTGCTAATAATTTTTATTAGTGAATCAGTTAAAATAATAATTATTTCAGTAGACTGTTAAAGACAATCAAATAAATTTAGTGATGTTAGTGGTTACTGTAAGCACAATTCCTGCAAAATTTTCAGAGGAAAATTTAAAATTATTTTAAAGCCCTGTTAGTGTCTGGCCCAGAAGGCCATAGAACCTCTACTGTGTACTCTGCTACTTACTAAAACCATAATAAGGGCTGGGGATGTAGCTCAGTGGCGCTGCAACTGCCTTGCAAGCGCAAGGTCTAGAGTTGGATTCCCAGTACAAAAAAAAAAAAAAATCATTAACAGGATCTCCCCAATTGAGTATCCTGAGGATGATAGTAGCCCAGGCATTAGGATACATCCCATCCCATAAAATGAAAGTCTACAGAAACACCTGACACTCATTTATTCAGACCCTATGACTACAGAGGAAAACTTAGGTTCAATGATGCTTGTGAACCCTAAAAGTACCCTAAGGTTCACATCAATTATATTTCATGGCTTGAATAAACTGAAAATTCTGACTTATACATTTGAAAGTAATTTTATTGAATGTTTATGAGTCAAACACCTTCTTGGCTTTTTATTGAAGGATTAATTTTGGGGGTCAGGGCAGACTCTTCAGGTTATGTTTGTTTATAAAGCTTTTCTGATTATCTTTTTATATTTGGAGAACATAAATACCCAACTGTTTGCCTTTTATATACTGTTTTCATAATAGGTGAGAAGGGAGGGAGTTAAGCGAGATTTCTAAAGGGGACATGAGTTTAAAAAATAAAAATAAAAAGTGAGATATGCTGTATTAGAATAAAGAAAAAATTATGACTACCAAGTATTAGGAATTCATTTTTTCAAAATATGTATTAAACTGAAATCTCACTGCAGCAGGTTTTCATGAAAATTAGTGGGGCACCATTTAAAAGGAACAGTTCCATCTGATACTAGATATGGTTTAAGGATGTTATATTTTCTATAGAAATAATTCCACTTGTAGCTACTTAATTTTCTGAATGCTGCCCAGTTCTCTAAATGCTGCAGGGAATGGCTCAGGGGCTAAAGGATTGTTATTACACTGGAGATTCACTGCAGCTCAATGACCCTTCCTTGAAATATCTACCACCTTCAACTTCTCCTGGAGGAAATTCTAAGAGTGAATATGATAAATCCCATGCTCACATTGGTGTAAATGCTGCTCCCAGAATGCCCTTTCATCTCAAAGACTGTTAAGTATAGAATAGAATTTAACCATTCTATTGTAGAAACAGGTCCTATAGTGGACATTCATAAAGATAAAGAAAAGCCTAAGCAAGTCCGGTGTGGTGGTCCATGCTTGTAATCCCAGCACTTGGGAGGATGAGGCAGGAGGATCGCCGTGAGTTCAAGACCAGCCTGGGCTACATAGTGAGTTCCTGGTCAGTGTCAACTACATAGTGAGAAAAGACTAAGCAAATACTTCAATAGTACTACCTTTAGGTAGTGGAATTACAGGTAATTTGGATCCTTGTACTTGTAATTTTGAAAGTGGCCTTGGGCTGGGAGCATGTATGAAGCCCTGGGTTTGATCCCAGCACAGGATGGAGGCAGACACATTGGGGAAATGGCCTTGTTGGGTTTATCTGATAACTGATAATTCTAAGCAAGAATTTTGCACTCTACATACTCAAGTAGGAGGCAACATATAATAACTTCTGACAAAACTGAGAAACCCTTACTAACATTTTTCCTGCCTTGAATTAGAATTACAGGACCCAAAGAAAAGTGGTAGTTATGGTGAACGTGGAATCTGATCCAGTGTATAAAGGAAGCTGAAATATGTCTTTTTTTTTTTTCTTTCTTTCCTGAGACAGGGTCTCACTGTGCACTCCAGGCCGGCCTTGAACTCACAGTGATCCTCCTGCCTCAGCTTCCCAAAAGCTGGGATTACAGGCATGAGCCACCATACTCAGCTGTCATCTTTAAAAGGCTTCAAAATGAACTATAAAATCTTCCAGTAGGGGGCTCATTTCAGAAGCACATATACTAAAATCTTCCAGGAGGAATTCATTTTGTAAAAATAACATTTTACCACTACACTTTTTTGTTGACTACTCGAGTATTTCATGATCATTAAAGAAATTCTAGAGATTAAGAGTAAAGTTTAAAAGGAGAACAAAAACATCACCATCCTCCAATAACCTCTTTTATATCCTAGTTTATTACTTTCAGTTTTATTTCCCTGGGCATTCAAATGTACATAAATACAGGATTTGAAATACAATTTCTACTGAATGCATAGCATTCTAATCAGTGATTAGGCCCTGATTTATTTAATAAGTAAAGCTGTTGGATATTTAGGTTCAACAGTAACATACTGTAGCTAAATTTGTTGCTTCATTCGAAGTCTTTACTTGCAAGAGCAAAGTCCTTGTAAGTGCAAGGACCCGAGTTCAATCCTGGTACCAAATCAAAACAAACAATGTCTTTATGAACTATGGCTAAGGGGCAATGTTAGGTACAAGATAAAGAAAAGACTAAGCAAATACTTCAATAGTACTACTTTTTTACAGGTAATTTGGATTCTTGTACTTTTGGAATTTACCCAACCAAATGTTTCCAATGAATCAGAAAACAAAGTAGCAATTTACTAAAATGAAGATCAGCATTTATGAAAATAAAACATTAAAATTCAATAATTTGAAGAAATTAAGTGAAAACAAAAAATAGGATTTCTGGTTGTAAATATATATTTGTATAATAGCAAAAGACTAGAAAACTAAGTGATCAGCACCAGAAGTTGCTGCTCAACCAAACTATGGAACAACAGACAACTAAAGAGCTAACTAAAAGCTCAAGGCAGATTTCTATGTGCTGCTCTGGAAACTGCCAAGGTAGGTTACCAAATGAGAAGACCAAGGTGTGTAACAATAGTATCAGACTCTTCCAAGAGTTGCAAAGAGAATGAGGAAAAAAAAAAGTGGGGGAAGGAGTCTGTTATATGCATAAAACACACTTAAAAGGCCACACAGGAGAGGTACAACAGTGGTTAATTAGCTCCGCTATGGGAATAAGAAACTGGGTATACAATATGATCACAGCCACGTGGAAATATGCATTGATACATAATACATAAAAAGGCAGGTATACTGTTCAAAGTAATTTCTGCATCTATTTCAGGGTTGTCCAATGAAGATTTTTAGAGCACAACCTAACAGTGGTATTGAAAAATAACGGAAAAATTGAAGAATGCGGAAAAAAATCATGAAATAATAAAACAGCATTTGGATATGGGTGCCATTAACTGGTATTTCAAAATGCAGTTGCAAGTTCTTACTACTAACAATGGCCAGGGGGCTGATTACCAAACAAAACTAACTTCTAATTAATTCAATATAGAATATATCAAATGTGATGATTTTATCCCAAGATTTTCCTACCATATTTACTTTGCTTTACAAATTCAATAATCCAGCAGGTGGAATATACTACTGAAAATCTGGTGAATAACAAATGAAAGGAAGGCATTTTTATGTTGATTTAACATAGTACTTTCCTCTCTAAAAAAAAAGATAAGGAAATCAATTACAGTATTAAGGCAGAGAGGGTCAGAAACTCAGGAAACTTCTCTCAAATTAGATGGCTGTTACTATTTTAAAGTTCCCTTTCAGACAACTCTAAATAAGAATTATTTCACCCTTTGCAAGATTTATGCTCCAGATGCAGACTGGGCTGTAACTAAGGCTGTCCCTATTGTTTCTAAAACTCAGATTCATGGCTTAATAACATTTCTGCACTACTGAAAATGTATAAACATGAATTTACTGAAGTGCATCTATAAAAAGAAAATACACTTTGACTTGTTTTGCATTGGAATGCCATTTACAGAAGTTATTAAACTGGAGTTCCTTTTGATATGTAGGGCTCTTTCAAACACTGATTTTCCCCCAGTCATTAACACTAATGTGTTTTACTTAGCTTCCCTAAGTGTACATATTATAAAAATACCACAAACCCCCAAGGATTCACAGCCACAATGAGCCATGTGAGAATTAGCTAGTCACTAGATAACGCATCGTACAATAGACATCTCAAAATCAGACCAGATAGTATAGAAAAAAGCATCACCACTAATTTTCACGTCTCTAAGATGTCGCAGTTCTTCTTCAATTTTCCCTGTTTGGTCAGCTAAAGGGAATAGGAAATAATATGGTTTATTTATAGACTACTTTTTTTCCCTGGAGAAAAAAAATCATTCACTGCAAACAAGAGTGTAGTTTCCAGAGGGATTTTTCGTGGAATGAAGAAGCAACTAGACACAATAATCTGGAAGATCAGAAAGGTGATGTATTACTGCTATCATTTAGGTATCTGGTAATTTAAGAAAAACAGGGGACCTGGGGCAGCAAATAAAGGTAGCACCAGGAAGTGCACTCTCAGTGAAGATGCTGTTGGCTGCGAGGAGCTAATATCTGGTGACACTCTATTACGTCCCTAAATGGCGCTGCGCTGCAGACTGGGGCCACTCTGTACACTTCGTCCTGCTATCACTCACACAGGTGTCACCGCACACAACCCCCGATGCCTCCCGGTTCCTGGTTCCACGAAAAATGCATCGGACGCTTTGCGCAATTCAGGCCCTTCATAGGGTCAGTGTCTGACGTTGCTCTCCTTTATCTGCCCAGTTTACTTCAGAAACATTCCTCCCCATTACCTCTGTTATCTCTGTGGATCTAGACCTTATATCACTCTGCCTTCAGGCATCTTAGAAGAGACCCGAAGTTCCCCCTCCAGGAAACGCTGAAAGGGAGGCTTAAAGGGTCCGTCTGAGGTGACACAGCGGAGGAGAAAGACCCGTCAAAGTCGAATAAATTTCAGTTCGTCAAACCTACTTCAAGACCATTTCGTTTGCCACCTCCTCCTACTGCCCTTCCGGGACAGAGCCGAGGTGAACAGACACCTGCGTCGCATCCCCCGCCTCTACCGCGGGGTTCTGGACGCTGTTTCTGGAAACCTGAAATGCCACTTTAATCAGCCCTTTTGGAAACGCTGTCCCCAAACCCTTCCTAACTTTGGAAGCTAAGATTAGGGAGACGGAGAAGGCCGTGCGGAGGAAGAGGAGCCAAGGCTGCCCTCTCCCAGCCCCTGGCCGGTCCTCGCTGAGCCTCGGACGCCGGC